GCGTGTAGCATGATCGCCCTACATGATGTTGATCTCCTCCCTTTGGATCTTTCGCTAAAGTATGAATATTCGGGCACTCTGCCGTATCACGTGATCCCCTCCTGGTTGCATCCGATTTATCATTACTACGCCAAATACCTCGGAGGAATTATGCTGATATCTCGCGAAACATTCACCCGGGTGAATGGATTTTCCAACCGCTTCTGGGGTTGGGGACGAGAGGATGACGAGTTCGGACACCGTCTTAAGGACTGGCAAATAAAGGTACCTTTGAAAGGTCTACTCTGTTTTCTTTTTTTATTAGCTATTCCACCCTGTTTTGCTGACTCCGTAACAAATCCTCTTTTCAGGTTTTAACGGAGAAGAAGGCAGTGCCGGCACAAGCCAAGTTTAAGCACATCCACTCAAGGATGAATAAAAGGGAGGCTGTGCCCTTTTTCAACCCAGTAAGTATGAAACTATCAGCGTTTGCCTCTGTGTTTGCATACTTATTTCTAACGGCACATATTCATTCGGTAACAGTAGCTTATAGGTAGCACTACATCCTTGTTTACTTTGCATAATAGTTAATGTTTCTGATAAATTTTACCATTTCTGTCAAGATAATGTCCCTCCGCCGTTAGACGGGTTAAGCTATGACGCTGCAGAAAGCGCGAAAAGTTCATTGCATGCTTTTCTGCAGACATTTAAACCTGCCCAGCCTGAAGGCACGCAATTCGCTCGATAGAGTACCCCCTATGAAGGGGTTAAGTAAGTTAAACCCTGGCAACTGCGATCTTCAGGCCCGATTCCTTAGAAGAAGAAAAGGCAGGAGGCCAGAGTGGTAGGAAGAATTTATTCCGTACAGAAGGAATGGAGAATATGTAAGAGGAATTTGACTGTCAGACGAGCAAGCAACCGCCGACCACAGTGCCACGTCTGAAGTGAGGTGACCTTGGGAATCACCACAGCGTCTGGAACGGCCTCTGTGTGAGTCGGCCTTCGCAGATGATTAGCCAGTCGGATGGGCGTATGTGGCCAGTGCATGCGCATTCGTTGGCAGCGGTGAGCCTTTGCAAGAAATCGTATGCGCGTAGTGATTCATCACAGTATCGTCGACAGATGATCTTCACAAGTGGTTTCAGGCACAAATTCGTCAATCAATGTGCGTGTGCAGGGTACGATTTTGGT